TGTGCGGAGCCTCACTGGTGGACGTCCGCTTGGTGAGCGCCAAGACGGGCTTTGGCCTGGAGGGGCTGGTCAGCCGGCTGCAGCACTCCTGGAAGTGTGCTGGTGACGTCTACCTGCTGGGTGCCACCAACTCCGGCAAGTCGACTCTCTTCAACACCCTGCTGTGCTCCGACTACTGCAAGTCCCGTGCCCTTGATGCCGTCGACAGGGCCACTGTCTCCCCCTGGCCAGGTTAGGGACACTGCTGCTCTCACGCGTGGTGTTGGGCACTCAGAGGCCGGATAGCCCCGGCCCTCATGCAACACTACCTTCTGCCACTCCTGGGGCAGAGGGACCTGTTACTGAACAGATGCCCGCCACCATGAAGCGTTGCCACTGTGGGCAGTGAGCTCCGGTGCTGTGCTGTGCTTCAAATCGACATCTTCCTCAGGGTGGCAAGCTTGGAAGGTGTGCACGCCGCATCTCATAGCGGTGAGGGGGCTGGTAAACCAGAGCTGGCCCGCATGCTCCACTGGCACTGGGGATGGTACCCAATCTGCGTGCTTTCTATCTCCCTATCAGTTAGGGGTGCCTTCCAGGCTAGAGAGACTGGGAGGTGGAATGGTGAGCACCTGTAAAACAATTGCAGGCCAAACCAAGCTGCCTGGGGTCGGAGCTTGCCTGGGGTATATCAAGTCAGTCTTGGCACCACTTGGTTTTGGGACCCGTTTCATCAAACCGTAGGTGAGAGCAGCTCTTGAGCAGACAGGTGCCTTGGTTCTTACAACCCTGTCTGCAGAGGCTAGTACTTTGTGGGAGCAACTGTAGTTCCACCTCCAAAATTTGTGTTACTGGAGTTTTACCCAAAAGGTGGAGAAGCAATTTTGGTTTTTTTCATGTTCCTCAAAGCTTAAATGTGCTGCCTAGTCAGACGCCCACACGTGCCTTCTGTTTTTCCAGGAACAACACTGAACCTGTTGAAGTTTCCAATTATTAATCCTACGTGTGACAGGATATTCCGAAGGCAGGAGAGGCTGAAAGAGGAGGCAACAAAAACAGAAGATCAGCTAAGTGATGAAGAAAGAAAGCACCTAAATCACCTTAAAAAGCAAGGTTACTTAGTGGGTGAGTATTGCCTGACTAAATGTATTGCCACTCTGCCTCGATGGAAATACTGCACAGGACTATTAATTGCTTAATTCGCTGTAGAATCCAACTGGTTTTGGCAAGTAATTTCTTCCCGCTCTAAAGTAACTTATTTCCATTTTATTACGGGAAGAGCATGTGATCTGTAGTACCAATTAAAAAAATTCTAAACTTGTTTAAGTCATTTTGGCCACTTTTTCTTCCTTGAGTAATGGGTGCAAGACCTCTAGTTCCTCCATAAGTAGCATCATTAGTATTTTGTTTGAGCAATTGCTATTGTAGTAGCATTGTGGAGGCTTCCTCCCATTGGCATTTGCTAACATCACATTTTGGCTATAGGCCACAGTGTTTGTGCATCATTTAAGTGTTTATCCAAAGGAGTGGGTTGCTATAAGGTAGCTCTGGTTTTCAGGTAATTCTGTGTTTGACAGTCTGAGGCACTGAAAAGAAGAAGGCAGCCTGCTTTACTGTGAAACAGAAATAATGGAGTGCCTGTGATCTGGACTCTGCTAAGGTTTTTGAGGAGTGCTAAGCAAGATATAGAAGGGATTTCTTAGCATCTTGGCTTTTGAACACACAAATTTGTAGCTGTGTAGCATCTTTATCACCTTTATATTACCAATGTGCATGTCCTTTAAGCAAAGGAAGGGAGAGATGTCCAGTTGAAGGAAAGGCAATTCTCAGGAAACCTTTCGTTTTAATCCAGGAAGAGTTGGAAGAACCTTTCAACGGCAGAAGGCCAGCCCTGTGATTGACTTTGACCCTGACATACTCTCCTACAGCATAGATGAAGATCCCAGATCCCAGATCCCTAAGAAGCCTAAGGAAAGGGAGGAGTTCACCTACAATGAAGTGAAGGATGCTCGCTGGTGTTTTGACACTCCAGGGATTGTAAAGGAAAACTGTGTAGGTACCCCATGGTGCTGTGTGTGGGGATGACAGGATTTGGGAGGACTGTTCTGCCTTAGCTGTGCATGTGAGAGAGTTTTTTCTGCTGGAGTCCTGGGGTTAGGATTCTTTTGGTTTGGATTCTTTTGGTTTGGACAATTGTGTTAAAATATGGTTCGTATTTACTTTGGAAGGGTTCGTCGTGTTAACGCTGTTGCATTTCTGAATAGTGCACACCGTGATCTCTGCAAAGGAACTGTAGGACTGTGTCATCAAACGAGGGAAGCAAGTGGTAGTGTTGTAGAGCTACATGCCAAGTTTCAGATCAAATTTTGTTTCTGCAGTCAGTGTTTGATCTGACTGGAGAACAAGCAGGTTGTCTATGTGGCAGATTTTGGCAGGGAAGATTTCTAGTTATGAGCAGGTTTGGAAGAGGAGGGAAGGAAAGTGGCTGTTAGCATTTGATGGAATTAACTTTTTGTCCTTAGTCCTTGGAGGCTTGTTTTTTAGCTGCTTCCTCATGGCTCCTTCCAAAGCCTAACTTCTGGAAAGCCTAGAAAAGGATTTCTGATAACTCAAATTTCGGTAACTCGAATGTCATAGCTGGAGGTGGTCTCCAGGTCTTACATGGCTGCACTCATGCTAAAGCACACTAAGTCTTGTAAGTCTTGGGTGAGCTTGTTCGAGCCAGACCCAGGATTCCCAAATCTGTGGTCCAACAGGCAGCTGTTATACTTTGTTATGGACCCTGCATTGCCATGAAGATTGGCAGCATTCCTACCCCCTTCTGTTTCTCACTTACTCTGTGGACCAGAATTGAACTGTTCTGTTAGATGTTCTTCACACTTCTCTAATTGATCTTTTTCCTATACCAATATAATTTCACTGTTAATTTCATTGTCCCCATTGAAACATCTGGAATGCCTTACGGAAGTACAATTGATTTTGCAGGTTTTAAATCTCCTGACAGAGAAAGAAGTAAAGCTGGTTTTGCCAACACATGCCATCATTCCACGGACCTTCATTCTCAAGCCAGGAATGGTCTTGTTTTTAGCAGCTTTGGGACGAATAGAATACTTAGAGGTAAGGGATTTTGTGAGCAGCTGTTTCATCCCTTACTATAGTACCAGGCAGCAAAAGGCTTTCTGGCTAGCTTTGTCAGACCCTTTCTTTGCTGCTTTTGAGATGATGAATCTGTTGTTAAAGCACCACATAAAGTCAGAATGCCTTGGGATGGCGAGCTGCAGTTGAAAGGTTTGATACTTCTTACCAGCTTGCAATATCTTACATTGTGTAACAGAAACTACTTTTGAATGCTGGCAAACACCTTCAGCTTAACGCGCTGCCCGTAACATCCAAAGACGTAAGACGGAGAAGTGCCAGAATTACCTGGGAAAATAAGCAGGTTTCCTCATTTCTGTGTTTCGTGAAAGCTGTCTGCCAAGAGACAGGCGTGGGTATCTTTCTTTCCTGACACAGACCTCTGAAGAATTTGCCCAAGGAAGCAATTAAATGTACATGTATCTTAGTTTCTGTAAAAGTACTTTTTAAAGGTTCTGTGTGTGCCTCCTGCCAATTTCTTCCATGTATTAGAAATCCCATGCCATGCACCTTTATTGAATGTGTGGAGCTGACCTCCCATAATGTTTCCTCTGGAAGGGGTGGCTTCTTCCAGATATGGGTCTATGATATCTTATGATAATGCCTTTCTCAGTAGTTTGTCCCATTTTGGGAAGGGCGTGTGTGTATGGCTGTTCCTTTGTTTCAATCAGCTTTCCCAGATCACCATAGAAATGTTGAATTGGTACTTTGCTGAGGACACTCTTGACCTGCTGGAAGAAAACCAGAAAGGGGGAGGGGGCAGGGTTTTGTAAATAACAGTGTACCAGTATGGCAGGAGAGCTGCATCGTAGTTAGGATGACAATCCAGACCTACATCCTGAAAAACAGCTTGGCAGTACAGAGGACTAATGGCTTGGAAAAAATGCTGTTTGTGAGGAGGGCAACCCAGCAAAAAAAAACCCCAATTGTCTTTATCCAGTTTGTCTTTTGTCTTGGGCAAAGCTCTCAGAAAAGAACTTCCTAGGCATGTTGGTTGGGTGCTGTCAGGGACTCAAGAGCACCTTAATTTGCATGCCTGATGAAGTAGAGCAGCAATACCAGTGACATCTTGGTGGTGGTAAACACCCTCTGCTAAAACACTGTGAGATCAGGCCGCCATCGGGCTGCCTGGGGGGTTGTTTTGTCGTGAGGAATGACTTCTTGTTCTTGGGAGTTGTGACGAACGTGGCTGGTGTTGGCAGCCTGGGGAACCTGCGGTCAGGGTAAAAAAGTGTCACACCATCTCCTGGTGAGAGAATGGGCCTCAAAGACAGGTCCAGTGCAGCAGGGCGGGCTGTTCCTTGTAGGGGTGCTCCTTGCGAGCCGAGCTGTGCGTGTTTAGGGCCCCGCAGGTCCTCGGTATCTGTCTGAGTGCATTGCTCTATCAGCCTTGCGTCTCTGCATCCTCCAGAGACCTTGAAGGAAGACAGTTAGATCATGGCAGAGGAGCCCCTGCCCCAGGTTAGATCTTTGATGAACTCGAAGGTATTGCCTAACCTGGGTTTCCCATTTCAGGCTGCGGGCAGTGTTGATTAGAGAGGGAAGAGGCCTCTACAGTGCTTGCTCTGCAGGCAAAAGTTACGGAGCTGAAATCGCTCCACATTCTGTCTTTGCATAGCTTGGGAGCAGCTTGGAACCAAGTGTGGCTCGATGATAGGTGCGTGTTAGAAATGTAAAGTGATAGGAGAAGCACTGCCAGACAGATGTCCATCACTCTCGTGCTAAATAACCACACTGAGTGTGTCCTTGGGAATTAAACCAGAGCAAAGATATCCCTTGGATAATGTGCCTGAGCTGAGCAGGTGTGATGGCAGGGGATGTGGTATTGGGGGTTCTGCTCCCCTGTTTATGTAAACCCTGGCTGCTCCGCAGTGACAGAGGCAAGGAACCCTCAGACAAAGAGGGGAGATGAGTCAAACGGGTTTTCAGCGTGCAGGAAGGAAATGGAGCAGGAGAGAGCAATTTGGGGCTGCTTTGCTGTTATCATAAGTAACATCCACTTCATGTTATTTGTTCTAGGGAGAAAAGCCTGCCTGGTTTTCTGTCGTGGCTTCTAACCTGTTGCCAGTCCATGTGTCTCACCTGAGTAACGTAGATGCCATCTACGAGAAGCATGCTAGCCGAGAGTTACTGAAGGTAAGAGGAGGTGCCTGTCGTGTGCTCCTGGTTGCAGGTAGGCAGGCTGCCCCGCCTGGTGAAGCGCCCTGCCCAGGGCACAACTGACAGGGAAAACCAGCACACATCAGGAGTTTGGGACTTCTGCAGTGAATGAGTGGAGATCTGCAGGGTGGAGCAGTCTTGCACAGAGTGCGTGGCTGCAGCTGTGGTAGGAGAGAGCACCCGAGATGATGCGTTTTACAGCAGAGCTCCTGTTTCCAGCGTTCAGTCTGATAAGAACTGCAGTGCTCTACTCCCTGATGCTTGGCTTTTCTTGAACAGCCTTAAAGTGCAGGCAGCAACAGGGTTATTTTCCACAGCAAACTTCAGACTGGGGGTTTCAGAACAGATTGCAGTTGAAAAATGTACCTTTCTTATTTTTTCCCTGCTGGATCCTCGGCACATTCCTTTATCTGTGGTGAATGGAGTTAAATCCCGTTGGTGGCCGGTCACCAATGGTGTTCCCCAGGGCTCAGCACTGGGGCCAGTTCTCTTTAATATCTTTATGGGTGACCTGTACAAGGGGATCGAGTGCACCCTCCATAAGTTTGCAGACAAGACCAAGTTGGGCAGGAGTGTTGATCTGCCTGAGGGTAGGGAGGCTCTGCAGAGGGATCTGGACAAGGTGGATCAATGGGCAGAGGCCAACTGTAGGAGGTTCAACTAGGCCACGTGCTGGATCCTGCACTTGGGTCACGACAACCCACTGCAACGCTATAGGCTTGGGGACAAGTGGCTGGAAAGCTGTCAGGCAGAAAAGACTTGGGGATGTTTGTCTACAGCCGGCTGAACATGAGCTGGCAGTGTGCCCAAGGTGGCCAAGAAGGCCAAAGGCATCTTGGCCAGCATCAGGAACAGTGTGGCCAGCAGGATTGGGGAAATGATTGTCCCCCTGCACTGGGCACTGGTGAGGCTGCACCTGGAATCCCGTGTTCAGTTTTGGGCCCCTCACTGCAAGAAAGACATTGAGGTGCTGGAGTGTGTCCAGAGAAGGGCAACGGAGCTGGGGAAGGGTCTGGAGCACAAGTTGTGTGAGGAGCAGCTGAGGGAGCTGGGGGTGTTCAGCCTGGAGAAGAGGAGGCTGAGGGGAGACCTTATTGCTCTCTGCAGGTACCTGAAAGGAGGTTGCAGAGAGGTGGGGGTTGGTCTCTTCTCACAAGTGACAGGACAAGAGGAAACAGCTTCAAGTTGCACCAGGGGAGGTCTAGATTGGATAGTAGGAAAAGCTTCTTCACTGAAAGGGTTGTCAGGCAGTAGGACAGACTGCCCAGGGAAGTGTTGGAGTCAGCATCTCTGGAGGTATTTAGGAAACATGTAGATGGGTGCTTAGGGATGTGGTATAGTGCAGGACTTGGCAGTGCGAGGTTAACCGTTGGACTTGAAGATGTTAACGGTCTTTTCCAGCCTAAACAATCCTGTGATTTTTATGATATTTTGGTAGTCTGACTTTTTTCCTTGGTATTGGCACACAGTGTGTGGTACTTGCAGATTGATCGGGGAGGGGGTAAGCTGTCCTTGTCCTGGCAGCTCCATTCCTGTGCACATCAAGAACAAGTGCCATCACTCACCTCAAGGCAGCTGGCTTGAGCCACCAGCTTGGTCCTGCAGTGGGACTCCATCTTTCCTTACCTCTGAGCTCCCACTGGGTTGCTCTGGGTGGGATCCTGATTCTGTTCTTGGCAAACCTGAAATAACTCCTGTAGGGTATTCAGGCCAGCTCTTACAGGGCTGACAACCGTCTGATACTTTTTGTCTCACTTGTGCCCTGCTCGCCAGTTGAAGGCAGGAGTGCTGCAGCATCTCTTGACTGATTAAAGCTCTTCTCTGTGTTTTGATCTTAGGTTCCCATGGGTGGGGAAGAACGAATGAAAGAGTTCCCCCCGCTCATCTCTCAGGACATTACACTGAAAGGAATTGGTACCAAGGAGGCAGTCGCAGACATCAAGCTTTCCTCTGCAGGTAAGTTAATATTGCTTCATCAGTTTGCTCTGCAGGGTCTGCACCCTAGAAATGCTGACAGGAAGAGGCCCCTGAAGGGATGAAACCGTATTTCCTGCTCAGAGCAGGACTGTCACCAACACAAAATCAGGGCAGCCATGACTTTGTCCAGCTGGGGCTTGGCAACCTCCAGGAATGGAGACTGACAGCCATGCTTGTACAGGCTGACCACATTGGAATACTTTATGCTATGGCTGCCATATGAGTTCCACAGCATCAGGAATGGCCATCACCCAAGCGAGAGGGAAAGGACCATGGATTGGAAAGCTTCATTATTGTGGGTTTGGTAGTTTCCCACCATCCCTCTCTAGTTCATCAGGAAAGGGCTGAATCTGGGGAGAGTAAGATGTGGCTTTCAGGTGCTGCCTTCTGTTGGGACAGGGCCGGATGTTCCCTTGGAGCTTGGTTTCCTCCAAGAAATGACACCTGGGTAGCTCACGTTCTGAGTTTGTGTCAGAACCCTTGTTCTGATCCTAGTGACTCCTCTCACTGACTGACTGTATTTTTTCTGGCTCTGCAGGCTGGGTGGCAGTGACGGCTCATGCAGAAGAGAAATTGCTGCTCCGAGCCTATACTCCTGAGGGCACTGCGCTGGTGGTGCGGGAGCCTCCCCTTTTGCCTTACATCAGTACCATCAGAGGGGCCCGGATTCCAGGCACTGCTGCCTATAGGACCAAAAAGCCTCCCTCTCTGGTGGAAAACCTCAAAAACACGGGGAGGAGGTAGTACTTCTCATCACCTGTGTAAGGTAACAGACAGACCAGCCTCTGGAGATCCTTGTTACTTAGTGATATTCAGGAGAGCTTGGACTCCTTGTTAAAGGCAGGCCTTTTGGAAAGCAGGCCTGGGAGGAACTCCGCAAGTCCACACCTGATCCGGCTGCTGTTGAGTGGTTGTTGCCTTGCTGTGAGAGGTGTGGAATAGCTGCTCCCTGGGATCTGCCAGTAACCACGAGCAAATCCCTTTACCTGTCTTCTCTTGAAACACAGGATGGAAACTCGCCTGCCTGCCCTGGGCTGGCTTTGCTGCTCATAGAGTAGGTCTTCTCTTGCAGACATGCTCCCGCAGGTCAGAAATCATCACCTTTTTCTTGGAGACTTCACAGTGTTTCCAAACTTGAATGAGGTGGAGGGAGTGGGGAGGAGCAGGAAATACTCTGGTGTGGACATGACCCTTCTAGCGGCTGGGAGTAATTCAACATTGACAAAAAATCACGTCCTTTCAGTCCTTCAGCCTCTGGGGCAGACAAGGGAGTACAGGGCCCTGCTGTTGGACACAGGAAAGTTGAATTAATGAAAAGCAGGTCTGCTCGCATGGCTGAGGAGGACACTTCTGCCACTCACTGCTTTGCTTTGGTTTGTGTAAAGGTTTCTGAGGATGTAGAATAAAACTTTTCAACTACACTTACTCCTTTGTATCCTTTTCAAATTGCTGACCACACCCTCCCGTGTGGACATAAGCATCCTGCTAACTACAGAAAAGCTGCAGCAGGAAGGCCGGTGTTAGAGGGCAGAGTGTCACGTGAGGTCTGATAGCTGAAGTGAGGCTGCTGCAGCGCCGTCCCGCCATGTTCAGCCCTCAGGGAGGCTGGAGATGAACTCCCAGTGGGCCCAGAGCACACGTACACACCAGTCTGGCCGCAGAGATCGCAGACGGACACAGCAGCGCAATGCAAGCAGACAGCACCAATGGCCTTTGTGCACCTCTGCACACACACTGACACGTGCAGTGAATCCCTCCAGCTTCTGGGCTAGACACTGGGTGACGCTGCTTCCCAGTTGCCCGAGATGTGAGCCCCTGAGGCTGCAGCCCTGCTGCAGTGACTGCTGCAGACCGTCTCACTCGTGTACACATGATGACTCTCCTGGTCCTACATCCTGAGCTGGCCCCTTGGAGCCCCCTGCGCCCCTTTTCTCCCAGGCTGCTTCACCTGTTCTCCAGCTAGCCTGGCTTGATCTTCACTAGCGATGGCACACCTATTCCCACTTTGGTTGCTGCAGCGTGGGTGCACAGCTCGTCTGACCTGCGGTCTGAGCCCAGTTGCTGCCCTCCTGTCCCCATATGGACACACATGGACACAGCATATGGAGCCCTCAACCAGGAAAGTTAGGAATTTAATAGGGACAGAGGACAGATTATGCCAGTCAGGTGCAGGGCATGGCCAGGCAAGCATATAAACTAGCCAGCTATTTACATATGACTAGCCCTCTTTATGCCCTTACCCCTCTATTTCCAAAAATCGCCTAAATCCCTCCCTTTTCCCATCTCCCTTGAACGAGTCCTGTGCAAACTCAAAACGTTCTTCCCCTGCATCCCCTGATGTACCACACACCCCCAGACAGCAATCCTTTGCCCAAAAGGTGACCTGGAGAGCTCCATGACTCACAGGACGGTTGAGGTTGGAAGGGACCTGGGGAAGTCCTCTGCTCCTATGCCCCTGCTCTGGCAGCGCCACCTAGAGCAGGCTGCCCAGGGCTCTGTCTAGATGGATTTTTACTGTCTCTGAGGATGGGAGATACCTCCCTGGGCAGCCTGTGCCAGTGCTCTGTCACCCTCACGTTGGAAAAAGCGCTTCCTGATGTTCAGAGGGAATGTCTGTGCCCATTGCCTCTGGTCCTGTCACTGGGCACCCCTGGAAAGAGCCTGACTCCATCCTCTGTATGCCCTCCCTTCAGGTGTTCATGAACATCGATGAGACCCTCCCAAAACAAAGACTTAGGGTGATGGATTTTGCTCCTCGACAGAGGGCTGGTGGCTCTGCAAAGGGGCCTGGACAGGGTGTTCATTCCTCAGGAGTTCTCGGTTGGGTTCCTGTCTGCCATTGCGCCCTGCATCCCTGCAGGCTTGTGCAGGTGGGCCTTTGATGGGCTGATGGCCCTGGTGACGGGGCTGGGAGTAGCCCCGCAGGGCATCGTTAGGGCTCCCCTACCCACCGCCGTCTGCGTGTGCTCCTTGGTGGGCATGCAGCCTGGGCTGGAGAACGTGCTTGAGTTTGGACGGTGCTTAAAGACGCCTGCACTGACGCTCACAGCTCAATGGGGCCAGCCCGCAGAAACCCGGCACTACCCCATCTTGCTGCCTGAAATGATGTTTCCAGCCAGAGCGAACCGCAGGCAGCAGTTCGTTCTTACCCTGCCACACAGACGCACGACGGTTCACAGTGCCTGGAGGAGAACCTGTCTCGTGCCGGTCACACGCTTGATTTAACAGGAGCGAAGGGGAGAAAACAGTGGAAAGCAGAAGCTCACACCTCCTCGTTTGCTGGAATTATGCAGAGCAGTCCTAGGAAGGCAGGCATGGAAAAAGGCACGGCACACTCAGCTAAACCGGGAGGCAGGAAAAGGGTCTGGCTGCGGTCTGTTCAAACTAGCTTGACAAATCCAAACCAGGCATCCCCTGTAACATTCCTCTGCTGCTGTATGTCTGGGAAAGACACCACACAAAAGGCAAACATGTGGAAAGTGGAACTGGAAGAGCTGCCTCTGTTACAGCGGTGATCCTCAGCCCAGGGTCTGGACATGAAAAATTGCAGCTGAGGCCTCGTGTTTGGTCACGTTCCTCTGGTTTTGGGAAAAAAAAAGCCTTCCTACGAGGAGAGGTGGGCTGCACATGGGCTCAGGTGGTGCTGGGGGGCGTACCCAGGAGAAAAACCTTGCGGGGAGGGGGAATGCACGCCTCCCAGGCCCAGCGCCCTTCGGCGTGCAACCCAGAGCTGGGTCAGCGCCGGAGCTTGGCCTTGGGCACGTGTGGAAAGGCTTTTGCAAAAGCCATGTGGTGCCACAGCAGCAGCAGCCAGCTAGGGACAAAAACGGGTGCTCCCGACAGATGTCAAACCTCAGCACACAGGAGGTTGTAAGGTGGAAGCGATTAGTGCCTCGACGAAAGCGTAGACATGCCTTTTATGAGCTCCCAGGGCCGAATTACGCCAGAGCCGAGAGCTGCTGGGAAATTCTTCTCCAAGGGGGGTCATCCCTTGTTTGTGCCAGTCAGCCCGAAAGGTAGGACAATTTTTACCATGTCTGTGGACAATGGCTAATTTCATCTTAGCACAGGAGCCAAAAGCAAAGGTGGTTTGAGCCCGTGCTCAAAAATGAGGCGTAAGGAGAGGGCTGGGAAGGTCCATCCCGCTGGGAAGGACTGGTTTTCATGGGTGACCCAGTGTGCAGGGACAGATTTAAACTGGGAGGGCAAGGCCACTTAACAGCTACAGCTGGCTGGCCGTGCCTTTGAGGCGGTGGGGGGTTGCAGCACCCGGGTGTGTTTGCGTACCTGCACGGGGGGTGCTCCCTGAGTCCCTGGCAAAGCGCAGCGCTGGGCTGGAGTGGGGCAGTGCAGTGTGCAGGACCGGGCCAGGCAAGGGAGGGCTGCATCTCCTCGCTGACCTGCAAGCAGGGATGTGCAGCTGCGGCGGGGAGCTCGTGGGTCGGTTTGCTTTGGCACGCATCCTGTGTGGTGCCAGCTCATCCCAAAGAAAAAGAAAAGGTGTCTTCCTTTCCCTGCCCAGTGGCTATTCCCTTTTCGGAGCTGCTTATGGCAGGGGACTCCCAGACTAGGAAAAAGCAGAACAAGTCCCATGTAAAGTTTGAAACTTTGCCTACCGTTAACATTCCCGAAATAGCTTGTAATGTGGGGAGAGGTGCACTGGGCCAGGAGCCTAATGGACCAGAAGTTTCGAGCATCTGCTTCCTGCTAATTTTCCTGTGATTCACAGCCTGTAATTGCCCATAAACTCCCCTCACCAGCAGCTGTCTTTACTGATCCTGTAGCTAAACTGTTGGGGGTTGCCCAACATGGCTGGTGCTGGAGCAGAAACTTGATGGTGGGTCCATGTCCTGGTGGCGCATTGACCTGGCCTGTCCCAGGAGTTGCTGTAGTGCCAGATGAGGGTTGTGTTCGTGCAGGTCAGCTAGCAGCATCCTGAAATACCGGGGGGAATTCTTGACCAGCTGCTGTTGAGGATGATTTGGTGGTAATATCTCATACCACCTATTGGGTGTCACGATGTGGCTGCGGCCACATCTTCGAATTGTTCTGCGTCTCAGGTCCTCAGTCCAGCCTCACCTGGCATCACCAAATCAAGAAAGGAGAAAAAGAAGCAAAAAAAAAAAAAAAAGCCCTCAAACCATCAGGCATGGTGCCTTCCGGAAGGAGCAGAGCAGCATATGAGTCCTTCATCTGTTTGTGACGGAAACAAACCCAGCCACACACCTCATCTGTCCTCATCTCCAGCACGGCCTCTGCTACAGATGCCAGCAGGTTAAGTGCTCTGACCTATGCAGGGCTAAGGGAGGCCAAGAATGGCCACTTCAACCAGCCCATTGGCAAGCAACAGGTTCATGTGCCTGGCTCAAGCCCGAGGGCGTCAGAGCAATGCCAGGACACTGCCTTGCTGCAGGTCTGGTGCTGCCAGCAAAGGCAGGCGATTGCAAGGAACTCAAATTAACGAGCTTAAAAATACAACCTGGCCCAAGGAAGGGGTTTGCCCTTCTAGAATTACCTTTTCCTATGCATAGGGTATACACAAACAAGGTAAATACGCTTGTGGCAGCATGGCTAAGTTTTAAAAACAAACAAAACACAGCCACCAAACGAAAAGCGGGAGCCCAGCATTTTGTGCAAGGAGCTGGGCAAAGACGAGGATGACCTGACTGCAGGTTTAAGGGAAAACGGTTTCTCATTTTGCCAACCCACTGGTGTACTCTTCTTTCAGCTGGCTTGTCTCCAACACCTTCCTGGGGGTGGGGGCAGCGTGTGCTGGTGGTACAAAGGGCAGGGCCTGCTCCATCATGCTGCACTCCCAGGGCATCTCCCTTGCAGCCGGCGGGCAGGCTCGGTACCACTCGTGCTCCCTGTCCCTACGCCAGCTTGACCATAAACGGCACACACACCATCTGCAAGGCCTGGAGGGGTGCAAACCAGAACCTGCCCCTTACCTGGGTAATGATGGCCCCTGCCATCCTGCAGCCCACCAGGCTGTGTCCCATGGTAGCAGTGCCGTCTGCTCTTTGCTACCTGGCTACCAACTGCACGGCTCAGCAACCCCGACTCCCGCCGACGGGCCAAGATGGCTCGGAGGGGACACTGTTCACGAGGAAACAATCAGAGAAGACAAAAGCCCACTTCTTATGCTTCTAGGACCGTCCCAAGTTGTTCAAAGCTGCAACAGCTGCATATATAACTATCCCCGCAAGTTCATCAAATCTCATTTGCCTTGATCCCTTGGCAAATAGGAATTGTTTGGCATTTGTAGGAGGCAAGAATGACAAAGGCCCAGAAGGCAGGTTATCATCAGCTTGGGTTTTCAAAATGGACCAGGCTGGAAGCCAGATGAGAACTCACTCCTCCCGGTCCTACCGGGCTCCACAGCCCTCAAGACCTTTTCAATATCCAGACAGCATTAGCCACAGGGATGATGGGTGGCCTCACTTTTGTAAATCTAACGTTAATTCCCCAAATGAGACAGCACCAGAGACCCTTTCGGAATGCGGGAGGAACTGCTGCCTGCATTACCTCTGAAACTCAAACTCAGAATCCACATCTTCCATCAAGCTGCATTTCTTCTCAGGTGGCCCATCGGGACTGTGCGGCCGTCACAAACAGGCCAGCGCTAAGCTGGACCCCTGTATGTCTGCGTGCATCTCCCAACTTGTGCCCTGGCCTCACTGGGCTGGGCAGGAAAACAAGAACAGTACGCTGAAATGGAAAAAAGAACATATTTCTGGCACCAGTTTTCCCCATCGGCAGCCGTCTGTGCGCGCACACGCGTGGCATCTACGTGCTGGCTCCACGGGCCGAGCTGGCTCGAGGTGCTCGCACTACTCCTGCCATCAGTAAACGGGAGATAGAAGCTGCAAGTTCCTTAATAAAGTTTATTTAATCATAACTATGCTTAGGAAAATACACTTGAAAGGGTTAATATAATGCAATTTAGTTTAACTTTATACTACATTTTGGATAGAAGATTTCTTATACATGTTTTAGGTAAAAACAGGATGTATGATCTGGCTCGTTTTACACCTATTACAAATGTAGAAAAGACTGTCATGCACTACAGTAGAGAGAGCATGAAAAAAAAAACAACAACAACAAAACCTTTGGTTTAATTCAGAGAATACAAGTATTGCACTGTAAAAGCAACAAACATGGTGCAACTAAACATCATAAACATGTTTCCATGCCAGCTTACAAAAGTTTGTTAGCTAGTGTAATTTTAGAAGGGGGAAAATATATGTACACATAAACCAGTCCCATTAGCTATCTGGATCCTGTTAATATGGTATGCATGCCGCACATCTACACAACTGACATTCAAGAAAACTCTTGAATTTAATACCTTTCAGCTACATTAAATCTGTTGAAATCAACGACGTTACCATATCTCAACTGGCCTGTCAGTTGTTAAACATCCTTCTTGAAACGACTAAAGTTCCAGCCTAGATCCTCAAAATCCAGAAACGGCAATTGCAATCCCGCAGATTATTAATGCCTAGCTACCCGCTCCTAGAACGTTTCTCGGGGCAGTGACTTTGAGCGTGTGGATCCACGCAGCGAGAGCCCCAAGCGCAACGTTGCTCAGCCAAGGGCTGGCAGCGCAGGGGCATCGTGGTGCTAACCCTTCCAGTCGCACACCGCAGGCTGAACAGCCGTACGGGTGTTATTGCCAAGAAACACAAAAACGCTAGCGCTGGCAACACCGACACAAAATAATTTAACAATATTGAGAAAGAGAGAGAGAGAGAAAAAAAAAAGGCATTGTTTAAAGGGAGATACAGCAACACAAGACCACCATACATGGTGGGTTACCTGACCCGCACTCCCCACCCCCCACCCCCCCAAAATACTCAATCCTAGGTACACACAATGCATTACATCCTTGCTGCTTTACCGTAACATAATCCCAAACCTTGGTCTTAACCAAGCACAGAATTCCAACACAGTTCTGCACCAACAACAGGTAATTCAGACCCATTGTTGACAGGTCTCAGACAGAAAGAATCAACTTTTTTTCTCCTCAAAACGTTACTATCCTATTTTCAGTTTCTAATCTTGCGGTAAGAAACACTGCCGAACAAGAGCCTTCTTCAGAGAGGCCTTGTCAGATCCAAGCACTGAAACCTTGACTACTTCCCAGAAACATGCAGCAGGGTATCCCAGAGAACCACATCTTTGTTCTTATCTCACAGAGAGAGTTTTAAAGTCAGTCAATACCATTGTTTTCATTTAGAAACAAACCAGAAAAATCAACAGGCCAGTCCACAAGTTTATGTGAACCCAGCTAACGTCCTTGAAGTCACTCACAGGACAGCAAAGGCTCTCTGCAAGGATATGAAGGGAGCTATAAAACCTCTACACAGTACTGGAATTCCCAGCATCTGCTCACATTGCTCACAAACGGTGGCAACATTTATATATATAAAGGAAACACTATTATGAAATGAAAAAAAAAAACCCAAACCATCTAGGACTAAACTGGTTGTTTAGGAAAACAGTTCAACTAGGTTTATTTTCTTAACATTTAACATAAATATAGTTGCAACTTGATCTTCAGTTGACAATGATTGTCGCAGCCAAGGTAAGGATCAAACACTATCTAAGCAAACAAAAACTCACTATACAACTTATTTCTGCCACGAGGGATGCCTTCCCTCTCAAATCTTTGGCCTCCTACTACCAATCTCTCCCAGAAGAAGAAGCAATGTAGCATGGTTGCTCTCTATTCATTCAAGGCGGTGGGTTTGTTTGGAGGGGAGGATGACGTGGGGACACGCAGAGAACAGGGTTTATTCCGGAGCTTACATCGAGAGTATTTGCTGTCAAGTGCTCTGGCAAATAATGTCCGAGCTCGACGCCGCTCTCCAGACGGCACCTCCCTCCAAATTTGCTCCTGCGGAGCCGACAACCAGCACGGCTGCCCCCAACTGCTCCCACTGAAAGAGCAGCTAATGGCAGTCAGGAGAGTTCACAGATGGGACTGGAGGGTTTTTCTTTTTCCCTGTTGGCTTGCATTTTGTTTACATCTTGCCACTGGTTGGCTACGAGCAGTTTTGTGTGTGCCAGAAATTAAATCTGCTTAAAATTAAAAAATCCTGGTATGACGTGGAGACCTGAGATGATGACCTGATCATTTATATGTTTCTCTCGGCATGGGAGCAGGATGATTTTTATTAAACGCAACTTGAATGAAGAAGGAGCAGGAATTCCTAGAGTTTTTAATGCCAGGTTTGTTGCTTACCAGCTGATTTACATTTATTTTTTTGGTGTGTGAGATTTTAGATTTTGATGAACCACACTTCTATCGGTGCTAGTCTTTCTTTTGTTTTTTAAGCTCATGAAGTTGGACTGCTGTTCACCACAGAAATGAAAAGGGGACGAAAAGAGAAATAATAATCATCTGGACTTGCAGAATCTGCAGACAATTTCCATTGAGAGCAAGTATTTTCCCGTCTGGTGATCCCAAATTATAAAATAGAATTTATTACTCTGTATATATATTCAAAATATCAGAAGTGGCATTTCCAAGATTATTTAAAAAAAAAAAAATCCTACAAAATAGTGTTTTGAAATTGCATTGGTATCCTTTTGCTCAAGAACGACATGATTTTAAAGCCAGTCAAAATATATATAGCCAAGCACTTCTTAATTTCAGCAACTTCATGCACAACTAATAACAACCCAGGAAAAGACAAACATCTGCAGTAAATAGCATCACAGAAAACTGCCACAGGAAAAGCGTCCCATGGTAAGCAACGAATCTGAACGTTTCCAAATTAAAACAACCTTACACAAACGAAACCAAACATGCATATATAAAGTGTACAGGTACTGCACAAGCGCTATTCCTAAAGGATTAAACTGCATAGGTAAAAATCAAAAACAATGTGCAATATTTTAAGCCCTTAAAGCACAATTAAAAAAAAAAGGCAGAAATTAAAAATAACAAAGTTGCTCCCCCACAACAAAGCCAATTATGTATCACAGTCATTAAGATACTAATCAAGACAGAGGTTCTCCAATCAAAAGTTGGAAGGACTACTCCCAAATTTTGGCTCACCATTCACGCTTAGGGGATCTGAAATGTATGTTCACAATTATAATTATCTTAAACAGGTATGTTCATCACTAGCCAACTTCGATTTGTTTTACAAAGTGCTCTTTTACGTAATAGAAGCTATCTTCCTGGTAGAAAAAAACATCAAGTAGTTTAACACTTCGAACATCAAGACAAAGAACTAACAAAAAAAAAAGGGGGAAGGGAAGAAAGGAGAGAGAACAAGAGTTGGCTGCTAGAACAAAAAGCAACTAATGCCAACGGCTCTATAAATATCCGGCATCTGTATTGGTAGCTACAGTCTTCTTCCTAAACCTCAATGTATAGAATTGCATAAGCTAATAGACGAGAAGCTTACACTAACTTTAAAGGACACAGCCTCATACATCCTATCTGCCTTCTCTAATGAAGAGATCCAACAGTTAATGAGTTCACCGTTACACAAAAAGTTGTCCAAAAAATATTTTCAACTTAAAAAAAAAACCAAACCAAACCCCACCAAAACACAAACCAATGCAGACACTAAAGCCAACCATGCTTAAAAAAAAGAAATAAATCTACAATATCTGTACATAAGCTGTATAAGATCTTACAAAAGAAGAAGATTCCCCCAGACCACAGCTGTGTCTACTCCTGCCCTTTTGTTGCCTTCTCAAGGTAATACACGTTGACTAAGTGGCGATTGAGGTGCTTGCTGTATTCACCTTCCTTCGTAAATGAGCGGTCACAAAAAATGCACACATAGTTCTCCCTGGCCACAGTGGTGTCTGCAGCTCCTTGTGACGTCTTTGGACTTGTTTCCTCTTGTACGGAGCGAGTGCCATTTAACCCCGAGTCATCGCTTCCTTCCGATATGTTGTCACTTATGTCACTGCCTTCGTGGCTGTGGATGCCCTCATCCTCATCCATTTCCTGAGATTCAGTCACTGCTGAAGACGATAAGGCCAGAGACACCTTAGGGCTTTGCGCACACCCCTCTGGGGGCACGGGTGTCGGCACAGCATCTCTTGTTGGCTCTGTTGCTGGAAGGCATGTCTTAGTCAGGTCCGTTGGGTCTGAGTTACTCACAGTTTCTGCCACACAGGTTTCCTCCAGCTCCTTCTCGGGCACCACATCTGGTACCACATCCATGGGCACATCCAAGCTTTTTTCAGAAGACACTGCACGGGAAGATTCCTCAGAGCAAGCGTCTTCCCCTTGGTCCACCTTTCTCTCCTCTTTTTCACCAACAGCGTCTTCGCTCTTTCCTGCTGCTGCAGCTGGCATTTCCTGGTCCTCTGCCTCAGCTTCCCTGTTTTCATCCCCAGCTGGCAGGTCAAGCTGCCCTGGGTCTGGAATGCAGCTTCCTTTGGGATCGGTGCTCTCTTTCTTGAGAGCGTGGCCACCGTCATTGTTTAATGCCACCCTGTCGGTGGGATCTTGCTCCTCCTGGTCGCTGCCCGCAGTGTCAGGCTTCACGCATCCTTCCTCTTCGGCGTTAGGACACTCATCTGGCATCTCCTCGTCCTCGATTTTCTCCTGATCGAGTTTACTGTTTTTCTTACTGTGCTTATTTTTCACAGCTTTCTTCTTTCTGTTTTTCTTGAGGCAAGGATTTTGCTTTTTAGGCTCCTCCTCTGGTACAACGTCACTCTTCTGAGCTTCCTGGCAGTCTCTGGGTTTAGTTTCCGCTTTCTTTTTCTTTTTCGTTACTGCTGAGGTATCATTTGCAGGCTCTTGCTTTGAGGAAGCTACTTCAGCCTCTGCCTTTCTTTTGATCTTCTTTGTTTTACATGTTCTGTCAGCATTTTTCTCAGTTTTAATATCTACCACCTTGTTTTCTGAAGCTGATTTCCGACTTCTGGTTGTCACCTGGCCCGCAGAAACACTGCTCGTTGGCTTCCTTTCCTTTGCTGAACTGTCTTTTTTCTCCACTTGCACAATTTTCTCCGTTTTCTTTGCAGCTGAATCCCCTTTTGTTTGGTCCTTCTCTGCTTTGTCATTAGTGCTTTCAGAAAAGTCAGCTTCGCTCTTTTTAGTCCGTAGCTTCACCTTCGAAACATCCATGGTGATGTCAGAACAATCAGGATGCCTGGATTTGATGTGATACTGCAGGTTACATTTTTTAGACGCTGCATAATCACAAACAGGACAGAGAAACTGGCGCGGATTGACGTGGAGCTCAACGTGCTTTTTGAAATTGCTGCGGTCAGCCGTTTTGTAGTCACAGTGCGGGCAAGTCAGAGGCTTCGGCCCGTTGTGAACCTGCCTCGCGTGACGAGTTACTTCATGCTGGTTTGAGGCCACATAGCTGCACTGATCACATTTGAATGGCTTCTCACCTAAGGAAGGAAGGGCGGAAGGGAATGATGGTGATTATTAAGCACAGTGGGTGGGGGTGGGGGGGAATCATGTCCCACTAATACAGATACGGAAATATGAAACTCAAAAAGGAAAAAGAAAATAAATATCCATGCGCCTTTAAAATTAAGTAAAGTCAACATAAGAAATCCACAAGTCACAGACACATTCACAAGACACCAAGAACAAAATACAAAAAAATAGAGAGAAGGGGCAGGGGTTGGGAGGAAGGGGATCCAAAAATCAAACAAGCAGTAACAACGTCACAGGTTCTGGCTACGCATACATACCGTCAGAGATCTCTCTACAGAAATATTAGCAAATGGAATCCATACCCAACTGCTCCATTGAATGCATTGTAGAAAAATGGAAATGTAACATTTGATGAATACCAGTTTCACACAAACGTTTCAAAAAAAGTCCAGCTTTACACAGATTTAGCATACTTCATGTTTGCATTGAAAAGGAAACGGGGAAAAGCAGCTAGCAAAACCCTAAGCACGTGAAAGGGACACACTGCTCGGATGATCTTTACCTCTGATAATTCAGTTCACTGTTACGGTGTCTCAGAACACGGGACGTACTGGCTGCAGGCTACCCTTGGCAAGCCAACCACATGCAGTCCAAAGGCATCATGTTACTACTGAAATCTGGATTTACAGTTTTGCAGTGACTCTTGCAGAAGCGTTCCTGAAATGCTCCTTAGTACATGCCGCTGCAGCAGAGGCGGCTTTCCATTTACACATCAAAGCAAACAGGAAAAACACTTGTAGCCCAACAACTCAAGTACAGAAATACTTTGAGAACATCTGTGCATGTGCAAATTCAGCTGAGGAATTTGGGATGCTCCTGATCTCAGAACCAGCTTCTCAAAACTGACCTGCAAAACTAATGCACGCCACTTCCTAAGTACGTGGAAAACCCACTCCAGCCCCTTCTGGTCACGGTACAATAGTGTTTCTCCCACCGCTGCGACCCGCTGCCCCGACACTGCCCGCACTCATGTTGCATCTCTGCAGTACGACTCGGGGGGCCAGAGCGGCCTGCGGCGAAGACGAAGTCACTGTGACTAGTGTCTGTCGGTGTCCTAGCTGCACGGCTGATCTGCAACCTCTGCAAAAGGCTGTGCTGCCTCTCTGGCAGGCAGGATGGGGACACTTGTTTAAGAGCCTAGATCATCTCACGTCTGCCTGCAGCATCTCATTATTTAAAGAAGGGTTGTGTTGATTCCCTATCATCTTCAGCCTATCTTCCTTCCTGCCCTCCACAATTCCTTGTGACTTTTTCCACAAGTTAAAGCTTCATGTGCCTCGCTGCTCGTCCTTCTCCCAAGTATGGACTTCCATTGCCTACACTTCAAGGAACAGTTCCACGTTACACAGGGTGAGGACCAGAACAGCCTCTCTCCTACGTACACATGTACACGCTGTTCGATGTGCACAGAGCGTTCAGAGGCAACCCAACAGGGTAACTCACAGGTTGTATATGAAGAGTTTGTGTCCATCACCTCTGCTAAATCCAGGGGGGTATTTTTGCTCAGGTGGAAAGGACATGTACCAAGATGGCTAAGAATACAGCTGTGAAGTAAGCTCTAAACCACTGTTCCCTGTCTGACATCTGAAGAAAGCTCCAGCACCAGTTTGCCATAAAAGGCCAGCCTGTGACCTGCAGGAGTCCAGAAACTGCCACAGAAAAGGTCCAGCTGTCTGGGCAATGTGGCAAGACATGCAATAGACCTTACGAGAGCTATTAATAAACACCCCTGATAGCTAAAGTCCCATGTGCAGTCCCACGCCCTCCCTCCCAGACCTTTGAGTCAAGGGCCAAGGGCAGATCCCACTCCTCCTCTCCTCTGGATTTGAGACTTCTTTGCACAGACAAGGGGAGAATAAGATGTTCATGAAATGGTTTCCAGGCTCAGTATTGACCAAATTGCAAAAACAACTTGCATTTAGCCCAGAGATTCAGCCAAAAATTATTTTTGTTCCTGAAAGCGCAAGGTTTAATTCACAAAATTCTCAAACCAAAATACTGGCATATCATTTTAAAGCTGCTGCTGAGTTTGCTCTTTTCTCCTGTGTCTCCTTGACACAAGCAGACACTATTTTGCATCCTTCTGTAATACTAAGCAAAAGCTAAGGTTTCCCTCATAACCCCTGGATGAGATGAGATCGCATACATCACAGGGGGGACTCTCACAGGTTCATTGATTTGACTAGAGTTATGGCAGCAGGCAGAAGACAAGAATCTGCTCCTGTATCATCACAATGCTTGCTACTAGATTACTAGGACTACGAGGGCAGCCCTGTGAATCTCAGAATACATCTTGCAGAGTGAAAGGGGAAGAAAAAGATATATTCCCCTGTTACCACTTTTATTAATGGCTCTTAGCATTTCCTTAGCAGCTGAAGACAACCTTCCCTGCTAAAACAGGAGCTAAAGCTCAGGCCATGCTGGAGGGGATGACATCTCACACAGAACAGGGCAGCCTGCAGTTAAGTGGCCCTGCTTGAGCAAGGGGCCTGAACCAGATGTTCTCCAGAGGTCCAGCCTCAGCCACACCGCGATTCTCTGAACCACCCCCTTTTCCTGAGTCACGCTGCTGCCGCCCCTTACCAACCTGAGTGGGTGCGCATGTGCCTGGTTAAATGGGTCTTCTGAGAGCTGGAATAAGGACACATAGCACATTGATAGGGTCGTTCTCCTGCAAAAACAAATAGCAAATCAGTTACAGAAACACAGCCGACTCCCAAACTCGGTTAGCGAGCCCCACATGCGAGGCGGTCAAAGATCCCGGAGTTGTGTGCAAGGGCCCATTATCTCTCAGCAAAGGGACACTGTGAGGGGCATATGCTCCAGCTGGACCAGGACCTGTGCAACGTGTCAGGCTTTATGAAAAAGGGTAGCGAAGGGGCAAAATATGAGCGAGGCACATCCTCATGCCCGTCAGGGGTCAGACAGTAACCTCAGGCAAAAGGTGATGAGGGCAGCCACCTTTAGGAAGCTCTAAGCCACCAGAGTTGACTTTCCTACAGTATTTTCTCCCAGCACTCAGAAGATGCACAAAAGACACTGACCCCGTAAGAAACTTGTTATGTTCTTGCTTCGCCTAACACCTTACCTGAAACCTCCCCATGTCTAATTTGGATTAAGGTGGGGAACAACCATCCCCATTCAGCACGGACCTGCATTTGCCAGAACACGAGCACAGACAGAGACTGGGTCTCTACTCCCAAAGATTCATTGGCAGTGAAATCAGATTGGAGCGTGGAAAAGCATGATGCCCTGCTCAGTCAAACTATGCTGCAAGCAAAAGCACAAGAGCAGCATCAACATTTATTTTGAAGGCTCAAATCCCTCTGCCTGCAGAGTTATTGTTTCTGGAGAACTAATGGAAACTAACCTGTCATAAATTAGGTCTCCACCAGGGACTTGTGTAGCTATCAGCACAATGATACCTGAAAATCCTTTTCAGGTGAAGACAAGCCCAAAATAAAGGCAGACAGTTTTAGAATTAACATGTTAGGCAGGTCCAGATAAGCACCGGGGGTGTTTGCCCCAAGCTGCTCACACAGCTGAGAGATCTAGGCTGCTTTGTCTTCACTGCAAGTTGTAAAAACACGTTTTAGTCCCGGGTGGCTACCCCCAACAGGAGAGGGGAGTAAAGCTGGGAAGGGAAAAGTGAGTTACTGGGTTGTAATAATTATTCAAGCCATAGTCAGAGTTACACTACAACATTCTGCTACATCAGTTGAAGCATACAACCAACGTCCTCTCCAAATCACTGAGACCTAGGCGTCAGCAAAAGCCCTGCATACAGGCTATTTGTTCCCTTTCAGAGGCGTAACTCTATCTGCAGCAGCACAGACCTTCATCTGCCAGTATGTGACATGAGGCTCCACTGCAGGCCTCTGCCAAAATAGCAGTAGAAGCGGTCTTTGTAGCGCAGGCTAATCCCACATTTCTTCCTCCCATGAAACGTTTAGACTATCGTTCTTGATTACATCAGCAGTTTTAAGGTAAATTCACCCTAACAACCGTAACCCCCCTTCCTTTCCAGTTAAAACAAGGTAGGAGATTGGTGCAGCACACACAATAAGATTAAGTCATGTACAAGGGAGGGGTAGGCTTTTTGTTATAAAGAAATGGTTTTGCTTTTAAATGACTCCTTCCATCTGAAAATAAGTGGCCAAAGGTCCTGGAATATTCAGTCATGTCTTCTTCCCATTACCTGAAATTTCATATCTTTAAAGTTACCTACAACGTTAGGAATGTGGAAGAGGCTCTCTTTCAGGTATTTTACGTAGGGCACAGCAACAAAATGTACTGGATGTAAAGTATGATGAATGCAACTCATTTAAAATGTGTTACTGCCACTTGAGAATTGAATGCCTGACTACACTGTAAGGGCTGTTTTATAAAATGCTATTCCTCAAAGGACTTTTATTGCAATTTTACAAGCTCGTTATATGCAAACAAGCCACCAAATAAACCTCTCCGAGACACTTAAAGAAAAAGCCCCAACCTAGCAAAAGCTTAAGCAGACACTTGACTCTGTGCAAATGAACATGCAGGCCGACATCAGTGAAAGGGTTTAAGATCATCTCTTTATAAAGCTTTTCTTGCAATGCTATTAAAAGTTCCATCTGCTTGAAACGAAACTGCTTCCATCAAACTTCCAACACAGTGGAAGGCATGAAAGATCCACTATGACAACCAAAACCAACCACACACACCCCCCCAGAACTAAACCCAAACCCAAAAAAAAGACAGCCCAAAGCTAGTTACTGAACACGGGGACTGCCTGAAGCAGATGTCTTATTTATATAGCCCTGCAGATGATTTTTCAATTACGTTTTCTAGAAATTGCTTCTAACAAATAAAATGGAAAAGAAGAACAATGCTGCACTGTCTTGCACATAGTACGGTTCCAGGATCAGCAGTGTGGGTAGTTGCTGGCATAAATCAAGTCAAAATGTGGTCTAACACATCTAATGAGCACAAATGAGTCCAGGTACATCTGTCCCTGACACAAAGCGTCCTTTCTGCCCCACGAACAAAGGAAGGGACAGCCCAGTACATCTCCAGCCATTCCTTCCTAGGCAGCAGACGGGCTTTTCCAGATGTAACTCTCCCAGATGACAAGCTTATGACCCTCTGCAGGCTCCTTAACCGCCACCCCCTCTGCGCAAGGTCCCACATATTTGTCAGCAGCCTGCCACGCAAGCACTGTCATAAGCTGCACCCTATCTTCCAGCTCGGGGCAGGTTCATGGACACCTGCTTTCCAACAGGGATGCAAGCAGATAACCTCTGCCTGTGCCCCCATGGTCCCCAGACATGCCGAGGATAGCTATCTCTCCCCCCACGCAAGGAACTAGCAGGCAACCCCCTTCCCTGCTCCTGGCCATGAGCTCTGAGATTTGTGTGTGTCCTTAGTAAGTCGATTCAGTTCACTGACCAGCAGAACAACCAACCTGGGGGAGAGAAAGGAGGATTTCACTTTTTAGTGGGCTGAGTCAACCAGTCTCAGGATACAGGGAGAAAACGGGTAGTGCCTTTGTCCTCCAGCAGCAGCAGCCCATTTGACCCTGTGAAACTGCACTCTGTACAGGTCAGTGTTTCAGAGAAGTAGATGGCCCAAAACCAGCAAAATCCAATTATCCGCAAGAAGGTATTTTCCTCCATAGAGAAGAGCAGGTAAAATACAAAAAATAGGAGAAAAAAGTATCTACCCAAAATTATTTAGCAATCAGGAAACTAAAGAAACAAACAATTCCAGCTTTCTTCCTAATATTCCGAATCAATACAATAGGAAGAAAATGCAGGATGTATGTATCCAGCTCATCTTTTTTTCCAACAAATATTTTTATTCAGTTCTAAATGAAAACTATATTCCAAAAAAACAATTTAGTATTATTCAGACAGTTTTTATTAAATTTGGTACTGTTATGTTAACAGTCTGCAAATAGTTTTGACTGTAAAATATCTGTGAGTGTTTTTTCTGGGGTTTTTGTTGGGTTTTTTTTTAGGGGAGGGGGTGTTTGTTGGTTGGAGGTTTGGGTTTGGGGGTTTTTTTGTGCGTTGTGGTTTTGTTTGCGGGTTTTGTTTTGGGCTTTTTTTTTTAAGCAATTGATTACACATTAATACCAGCAGAAACCTTTAGCCTGGTGTATAAATACACCTGCCAGGAGCTTATTCATTCTCTCAATACTCTTCCTTTAGCTTTAACACTCTCCCCCACAAAATCAGTGTTACTGGAAACAAGGCACATTCCTAAATGAGCCTACTAACATATTTGAAAGATTTTTATCAAGTGAGGACTGGCTGAAAGATCTTAACTTTAGGTAAGAGGTAGCAAAGCAACTATTACCAGGGTAGACTAAAAAATGCTGAAATCATAATCATAATCACTCATTTCAGTTTAATCAATGAAAAGACATGGCAAACCAAGGAATCAGAAGCCTTGATTGCACCGCTATTTGCAAAAGAGGAAAGAGGAACTGGACAACATCCTACATTGTTTAACATGCTGAAATTTTTTTTTAATAGAGTTCACTGGTAAACTGGGCAAATGCCATGATAACAGCAAACGTGCTTCCTCAGCAAACATGCTTTCATGGTTAGCTCCTGTAAAACTCGACAAGAGCTTTCAGAGATCAGAGGGGGGACCCAGTGTCATGTGCAAGCAGAAGCAGGGATGAATTTAACGTTGATGCAGATGTAAAACAGACAAGGCACCGCACGGGCTCACATCTGGCCATGAGTCCCCCGGATGATTTATTTAGTTTTCTCCTATTTTTTGGTTGGTTTTACCTGTTATGTCCCACAATACACACAAAGAAAAGAAAACAAACTGGAGGATAAACCACGCCGTCTCCTTAACACCTCAGAATAATCTTTACTTGTTTAGGAAAGAAAAATGTTTAGACAGGACTGATTTTCAAACCGATGGGATCCTCTCAACAACAGCACGTGGCTATGGTGAAGAATGTACCTCAGCTCCCTGAAGGTCCCAGCAGCCCCGTCAAAGCAGACGCTCCAGCATTGCTGACAACACGAACTTGTGCACACTTGAGCTCAAGCCCAGCCCTCCCCTTCCAGACAGCTGCCACCAACTGAGCTCAGGCCTCCCAGCCACTCATGTCACCGCCACCGTGACAAACCATCGCTTCAAAGGAGGCGTTCCCCGGCGGTTTGCTCAGCCATGCAGCCTGCAGTAAAGAGGAACCGAGGCAGGGCAGCACACCAGAAGGTGGTTAGCGAGCCTCCCCTCTCCTCTCAGACGCTTGACGAGGTGGAAAGCTAAGCTGCTGAGAGATGCAGGGAAGGGATGAACCGACCCGCAGCCACAGACAGGATCATCGGGAGGCAAAACAGCTGTACCTCGCTGCCCCAAGAGGGGAGGCGTCTGCAACATCCCCTTGCCTTTCCTGGCCTTGGGCTAGAAAGGAATCTGGAGTTTGGGTGGGCTTCTTCCCTATGGGAGAGGCTGGGGAGGCCCTCCGATACAAGGCAAGGCGTTTGCTCAACCACCTGCAGCCCCAGCTCCCAGGAGGGCAGCAACACCTAAGGTCCTCCGATCCCACTTGGTATAAACCAGAGTGGAAAGGGGCCTCATGCTTTTCCTTGAGACTACCAACCGACCTTAGGAGAAGACAGGAAATCAGGCCAGAGACTGTGCCGAGGGCTTCTTACAGGCCAACAGAAGCATGTGTCTGCTTCTGGCTGCTGCAGTCAGACCTCAGAAAAAAACAGGCCCCTGCACATTAAGAGGAATTCACTCACTGGGAACACTACTCAGTGCTTTTTCTGACTTCGTAGATACTGGAGGGCTCCTTCGCATGTGTATCAGCTCGCTCTTCTCTGTAATTATTGCTCAGTCAAGTTCCAGCTTGGCCTGAACGTACCATTTTCAAAACTACCTATGTGATTTAGGCACCTTTTGTCAACCTGCTTGTTTTGTTCTTAAAGTGCATCAGGCTTTCGTGCTGTTGACCCTGACAATCATTACAGGCACACTGTGTCATGCCCGCTTCAAAAAAGTTAGCTTAAAAATAATAAACAAGGTGCTCCTCCTCTCCTCTTGGGCCCCTGACATCGAGAGATTTTTCTCAGTCCTCTAGGACTGCAGACTGGAGCTCAAACCAAAGCCACACTTCCATGAGGCTACAACCTGGCAGCACCAAGACGAGACCACAGAGCATTATTGGGATGGAACAAACTTTGCATATAGAGGACCCTCGGCTTGCTTCGGTCATCACCGTTTCCCAGTACTCTTACCACGCTTAAATCAAAAAAGATGAGAGACTTACCTGTGTGAGTTCGAATATGTTGAATATAATTGTTCTTCCTGTCTGAAAAATAGGAGCACTGTGAGCAGGTATACACTTTCCTGGGAAAATGATTTCTTAAGTGTTTCTTCCAGTGATATTCGCTGACGGTAGTGTAAGTGCATATGGTACACTTATAGACTCTCTCATTTTCCCCTGCTTTGTTGTGGTGCTTCAAGTGAGCCAGATAGTGATCGTATCTGTTAGTGTTATAGCCACAGCGATCACAACGGATCGGGCCCTTAGAGAAATCCACCTCTTCTGCAGTGCAAGAATCAGACTCCTTCACCTGGGCTTGCTTTTCTGCGTTTTCTTCCACAAAGAACTTCTTAGCGCTGTGAACCCTGATATGATGCACAAACTCCTCTTCAGACTCTGCCTCGTACTGGCAAGGCTTACAACGAAACGGCTTGCTCTTCAAGCTCTTACACTTGTCCTCTGTGCTTTCTGGAGTACCTGGTGCTTCCAGTGAGACATCTTTATCCACGCTGGGAGTCTTAGGAGGGGCGCAAGCAGCTGGACTCTGGCTTTCCACACCAGGTACTTCAAGAGAACTTAATTCCGCGTTTTCAGATGCCTCGCGATCGCTCTCTGCAGCCTGGGCATCTTCCATACCCTCTCCATCGCTGTCTGAGAAGTTGCTGTCCCCCACCGTTGTCAGTTCTGCCATTTGCCTCTCCTCTCCCACCAGGTAATCACAGCAGTTGCCATTAACTTCTCCCGTCAAGGCCACATTTGCCAACATAATGAGCTGAGGAGCTGCCAGCTCAGCTTTAGAGAGGTCGTGTAAGTCATACATGTCGTTGGACAACGCCATACCGATGTTAGCACTGCCAGGAAAGAGGCTGTTCCCACCAGACTGTCCCAGCACTTGAGTTGCCATGGCAGCAATTCTGTTGGTAGAGAAAAGGAACCCCGGTAAGCACCTCTGCTCTGAGCTGTCCAAGCAGGCCTCCAGGTGACACCAGGAATGAAACCTCTTCGCTGCCCTGGGAGGCAGAACCCGGGGTGACCCGGGGCCGGGGTGGGGGGAGGGTCCCGTTCCTCTCCCGAAAGGGCTGTT